TTCAAATCACAGAAAATAATTTTCATATATTGACTGTAAAAAAAAAAAAAAAAAAAAAAACAGCCCAAAACTATAAATAGTATCCACATCAAAGATCAGTATTTTTAGAAATGGTAATTTGCTCTTTTACAATGTTAAACCTTAAATTGCAGTAGTTTTACATTATTTAAATCCACACAAATAGCATTAATTTAAAGATATTTACTATTATTTCAAACAAAAATTATGTTCATTCAGGATTTAAAAATGAGAAATAATTTTAATTATTTACATAAAGACATTAAAATGGTAAATCCTTTTTAAACTGTTATTTTGCAGATTTTACATGTTGTTAAATTTGTAATATTATCGAGTAAAATTACAGAAAAAATATCAATTTACAAGTTGACTTTTAAAAAGAAAAAAAAACTGTAAATAACATTCACATCAGAAATCTGTAATTTTTGAATGTGTTATTTGCTACTGTCAAATTATTATTATTATTATTATTTTAATTCCACAGTATTTCACCATTGCTGTCATATTTTTAAACTTTTTTTAAACTTTTTTTTTCTTCCAGTCTTGATCTCAGTTTTTCATCATCTCACTACTTTATCATCGAGTCTTTCCTGCTGTGGTTTTAAGCTCGTTATTGCCACCGTCGGGTTCCTGCCTGCCGGGGCGGCCATGTTAATCCACTGGGGAGTGAATGGAGTCTTTTGGCCTCCTCCCTGCCTCTAATAATTACAGCTCAGATGACCTCCTGTTACCAGTGAACTAGCTGCTCCTCTAATTAAACCCCGTCTGGAGTCTTGCTCTCTGAGTTTAAAGTGTTTTCCTCCTCCTGCTGCTTTTTATCAGCTCAGTGTGAAATTTGGCTTTTTTGAGTGAAATCTGACGTCGACGACAAAAGAGAGAAGCTTCTGTGTGGAGCAGTTAGAAACCTGAAGGGACACTTTGATTGATCCTGGAAGATTTTGTTATTTTAGGCCAGTTTTGAGTTATTTTTGGAATATTTTTGTCATTTTGGATAAATTATGAGTCATTTTTATCACATTTTTTGACATTTTAGATAAATATGAGTCGTTTATGACAACTCNTTATAAATGTGGGGAGTTCAAGCGTAAAGTGACATAAAAAGAAAATAATGAAGTACTTAAAGTAGTACAGAGTACATGTACTCAGTTATCTCTGCAGTAAACTCCGTCTTTGTGCAGTCCTTCCTCTGCTGAGTGTGTTTTTCTTCTGTGATTTGAGGTCCGGGCTCAGATCTAAGCTGCGTCTCTCTGCGAGCGTCTGTGGAAGTTTAATTTCGGATAATCCATTTACTCCAGACAAACGTGGCCGTGTGGATCAGAGCCTGAGACGAAGCAAATTAAGTTTGTTTGTGAGAGGAGACGGAGAGATCTTTTAATAACATCCACGCTCCACGAAACAGCTGAAAATCTGGAGAACAGCAACAGAAACACACTGAAGGCGTAGAAGCTCCTCCTCGGCCTCCTGCTCCTCTCATTAGATTTCACTTTCATTGTGTGGACGACGACGACGGAGAGACTTTAAAGGTTCTGGACTGAAACGGAGTCATTTCAGACCATTCTGAGTAGTTTTCTGTCATTTTAGACACATTTTGAGTGACTTTCGACAAGTTTCAAGTAATTTCTGACACGTTTTCTGTAGTTTTAATCACTTTTTGTTATTTCAGACAACCTTTTAGTCAGTTTTGACATATTTTGTTATTTTGTACACATTCTGAGTCAGTTCTGACGAGGGGTGATGTGATATGACGACATTAGATCAGAACATGTAGACGATCTGTCAAAGTGAGGAGGTCGGATGGATCGTTTAGGTCACATTCTATAAATTGCAGTTCTACGCTGATGCACCGTCACACCAGATGTATGATGTCGTCAACCTGACCGACCAATCACAGCGAATTACAGGCAGTGCTGCAGTTTCTTTCCTGCCTCCTTGTTGGTGTGTGTAGCAGTGGAGAGCCATGGCCGACATGTTCAGGGAGCATTTCAGGTGTTGCAGGAGTTAGTTACAGTTACAGTTTTTGAATGTTATGAGTAAACATGCTGTCTGTCTGATATCCGGCTTAATAACAGCGTTCACCTGCTCTGGCCCTCCGTGACCAAGCTAACATGCTAACAGCTGTATGATGGAGCT